CCCATCCCATCTCTCTTAATTTAATAACTCCAACAACATCAGTTGAAGCAAAAGAACACGAAACATCAAAATGCGTATTTTTCTTCGGCTTCGTATTTCTTCTGACTTACTTAGGTATAAAACACAATAGACCATTGAAAGTCGCAGTCCTAGGGCCAGTTTTATGGCTCACCCCTCATACTCATCTTACTTAAGTATAAATATTCTCATCAGTTAATCTTCACAGACAACCCCGCAATCTGTTTATTTTCCTTAGAATCAACGACCAAGTTTCACACCCGTATACACAGCATCTTAATTTGCAGTTTTGTAGATTTGAACCCCTAAAATATATCAGTGGCAGCAGAGAGGTCCTACGTAATCCATTATGAGAACTTTGGTTGTGGTTATGGACGCCAAGATACGGAGCTTTCTAATCTCAGCATTTGCTTTCGTGTATTGACAGACAGTAGGAAGATTTCTGCAATACAAAATCGGTCTCGCAATCTCGGGAATCTTGCATTGCCTCCTCGCTGATGCAATAGCCCCTGCATCTGAAGTTACGGATGCCTGCAAGAAGTTCCCGCGAGGCAGCCCAGCGATACAGCCCTGGTCTACCTGTAGCAGCAGGTGAATTCTATGCCGTCAATTCGGATAATCCCCCCCTACCCACTGCCGTCACTGATGGATCGAGCGTCGGTACATTCTTGACATGTTGCTGCTTCGATCTCTTTCTTTCTTCTCTATCTCTCTCTCCAGTTCCATCTGTGTTTCATACGTCAGCCCTCCGCAACAGAAACACGCTGCAAAAGGGACAAAGTTCTGAGGAGACAATAGAGCGAAATCCCTCCAGTATATTTCTTTTGCTGGGTCATAAAGTTTTAGTTAACGTACTTCGAAATTGATATTGCATTAACTATGGCCGTTTTCTCGTTAATGGGCGAAAGAAACTATGAAGGATACAAAAAACAGAATAATGAAATAAGGCAGAGAAAGATAGTTTGAAAGAAGAGCGACAAAATACGAACAGATTCGATCCCTCGACTGAACACCTCGCCATGAAAGCGTATAGCACACTAGATTTTCACATTAAATTAATATAAATACGTAGCTCCATGTTCTGGTCGCCTTACCCCTGCGAATGAATTCAGATACCCAAACTACAGGAAGGTGAATGGGCCCCGAAAACAATATCAAAGTGGCACTGCTAACAGATATCACACAGTTCCTGTCGGGGTTCAAATCTCGTTAACGGACTGAGCATTGCTCTGACAGAAAAGACCCAGAAAAGACGCCTAAACGAAACAACATCTTATGTAAATCTACACGTCAACGTGAATGTAAAGGGTAAATTGTGATACAGTGAGCACTATTTATAACCTTAGTACATAACGTCAAATCTTATGTGACAGTGTTTCCTGCTCGTACTGGTACTCCTCTGAAGATGATTCTATTGAATCGAAACATATAAGGCGTGTGAAGACGGAAGTGTGGTGAACTGGACTGTAAGATATCAATGTGATTGCTAGTGTGACGGATCAGAATGAGACAAATCAAATTCCTTCATTCTGTCTTTCAATTAGGCCTATTCCTTTTTTCCGAAAACGTTCTACAGTTCGGTGCTTTACGTTATTCAGTTTATCTCCATTCCTTCGCCATGAACTGTCGGTTCTGTGGTATCAACGAACCTTTCTTCACACATTGATTAATCAGCTGTTAAAGGAACGTGATATCCTATTGACTTAGCTATTTAAATCTCTCCGTGGTGCAGGGTTAATCTTTCGAAACTGATAATTGCTCAACCAGAAAACTGTAAATGTTTCGTGAAACCTGAATCTCATTGCCATCTCTGAATCAGATGAATGCAGACCTTCCACTCAGCTTTTTCTTTCTGTAAGGTCCATTTTAATAACATTTTCCTTATTCTTATGGGGCAGTGATATCACAGCTCAGAACATCGGTAGGAAATACGCAATTCCTTATATTTTCACTGTTTTGCATAAACTATTTTTAAGCAATATTCCCCTTCCTGCGACTTACTTTATTCTCGCCAGCCTATTTTGAAAATGACAAATGTAATGCCAAAACATCAATTACATTCCGTCATGGATGATGGAGCTACTGGTCTTGACCCTGAAACAAGAAACCTGTGTGCTAAAACTAGTTTTATATTCTAATTTCAGTACACACCCTAATATTTTATAGCCCCCTATTTCCAAGACAGGAATTGTTTCAAGTATTATGTAGGCCTACGTTATATAAAACTAAATATATTTGCCATTCACACACCAAATCGCGTGCTCGACATCAAACCAGTTTCTACCCGTATATCTAACTGTAATATATCTGCAACTTATTTGAAAAAAAAGTACATAGATTGGGGAGCGAATCTATATAGTGTCTACTGCACGCATGTCCACCTGAAGTCTGAATTCATTGAATGGTCAAAGACGCCATATTTGTTCAGCTTCTGTAAACGAATATTTTTTAACATAATTCGTAAATGACCTTGTATATTATATAATATTTCTCGTAAGAATTGCTATTTTGAACTGCTTCTTTAAGCGGCTTTATCCTCGATGACAAAGGTCATGATTCTTCTCGTAATAGGGTTCAATAAACCAAAATAATGAGCTGATATGTTAGGTTTACTTATTTTATCATTTCAGAAACACAGATATGTCACAACCATTCCTTTATGTCTGTCTTGCTTTTTAAATAAAAAAAGCAAAAGGAAATGGCAGAACATTTCCCCAGACAGACTTCCAGAAGAAAAAGAACCATTCCATCCTATGAGGCAGATGTGCTTTACCCTTCCCACGTTCATCCTGTTTTGAAACAAGCAGATACGATGTTCTTTTCCTTGCAAGAATATAGCTTCAAGCCTTCATGTTTTAAGGGCTCTTTTGTTTGTGCGTCTGACATGTAGCCAATGTGAATTCATAATTTAATCTATAGAACACAGAACTATCCATCTATTGTTGCTACGACATAGTAGCTATGTTCACCTCAATGAGGCAAACAACTGAAGGAAAGAAGTAGGACTCTGCTTCCTTCTCCAGCAGACTGAGCATCAGTAATAAAAAGCTGAAGCTAAAATGCGCATTTGTCAAAGTATGAGAAACAATAACAAAGGAATGCCCGTGTCTTCACTGCCCTTTTAGAAATAAGAACTCGTAGCTCCGACTACGTTTATATTTTCCCTTCAATCCTTCAATCAACAGATGGAAAAGAAAAACGGCAGAGAAACGCATGGCGTAACGCTGTTCTTATTCGGAAGGCTATTGCATTGAACTGCCTGTCCCTTAAAAAAATCATTAAGACAATTGCTGCTAGAGCGTCGCGCCATTCTTGGCTGAGAAGAATGAGTAGCATTGGAGAAGGAGACTCGGGTACAAGTGTCTCTTCCGCATAAAATTAAGAACTGTTTTGCCATTGTTTCACAAGCAGACTTAATGTGGAAGAGTTTGGGAAAACCACGAAATACGTGAGTCCAGATAGACAGAATTAAGTTTGAGAACTGAACTCGAGACCTGCAGAATAAGAAACAGGAACGCTAACCACTACACCATTATGAGTGGGGCCAGTCATTTGTGTTTTGTGTTCCGATCTGGAAGAGATGTACAGAGCGACTCATTCAAATTTGTGTCACTAGAGAGAACAATGTTGTCAAATATATTTGTTTTAAATACACTCAACCAGCTATATATCTACATGGAGCAGAATTGTGCTTCAGAAACTGATAGCTGTTCAAGGAGTCAACAAATGTGTATAGCGTGTGAAGGAACTGGAAGGGGCGACACTTAAATAACTCACTATTCTCGCGTGTGTCGTCCAAGTGGAATATTTTCTTCAGATATTCCGGCTTCAGTTTTGTAATCTAATTCCACGGCGTTGACAAAGAAGATTAATAATCAATACACATACTAGTACATTACTATCCAGATTAAAATGAGAAAAACATGTAAGAAATTCTACTGAAATTGCACTTACAGGATTATACACGCATCGTAAAAACACAAAGGAACCCCCACTAAAGCAAAATGAAAGCCCCAAATAACTATAATCTTTTAACTTTATTCATTCTGGTCCGTCTCAATAGTTAAATATTGTAGAATTATTTGACAACACCGTCCAGTGTGACTCAAATATATATGTGTATATGAATGCCTTTACGTGTTTCGGTCAGTTAATGACCATCTTCAGAAGGCATAACGACATGTTGAGAAAGCTACTATTACATTGATCATAATACATCAAATTGAATGAAAGTTTTATATAAAGGTTTTAATTAAGATACAATATGGTTGAGTTAAAAATTATTAACATTCTTTATACTATTTAAAATCTTGCACCGCTAAGGTTCGTGTCCTCATGCCTCTCCTAGCAACGGGTGATTGGGGTGATTTTGCCGTCCTTAGAGGCCCGGGTAGTGAAGTTTTGCCCTTTTATATCCTGGTTTAAGGATCTGCGCTGTTGAGCTGTTTCTCCTTACGCTTTAATAATATCTTAGCTGTGACATTTTCTCGGAGGATTTATCTCTTATGCGTTGTGTTTACGAAAAATTAACATTAGGTCTAGGTTGCCTAGCTGTCAATACTTTCCAAATAAGCAACAAACTATATATGGATTTACTTTTTTGTGTATGGTTTTTCAACGAGGCTGTAAATAAAGTGACAAAAGCTTGAAATTGGCTCGTCTTAGACAAACATTTATCTTTCCTCGGATTTACTTCACATTACTTTTAATTAGTAATCGTGTTGCGACGGGCTGATCCCCCGACTGTATATAGGATTGAGAAACAGAAAAAGCGGCCAAGGTCCAACAATGGGCTGTAGGGCCATATGTGGGTGGGTGAGTGGGTGGGTAGGTAAGTAGTTAGTTTGGTAGGTAGTTTTAATTAATTTCCTGCAAAGACTGCCTCATCATAGGCTTTTTATCTTGTCTAGGACATTGAAGTTAACGAAAAGATGAGTCTTCAAGTGAGATTACGTGTTCCTTATATGAAATGTCTGTTGCAGGAGACAAGCCGCACGCATGTGAATTGTGCCACAAGAAGTTTGCCCTGGCGTGCAATCTGAGAGCACATATGAAGACGCATGAAGGTAAGTTCCAAGACCAAAAAAAAATATTCATCACCTCTCTTGCGAGTTGCATAACATGAGGAAAAGTTCCAAGTCAAAAGTAAGGGCTACAGTCTTGTATTGTGAGTTACATCCGTGTACAAGTAAGAAGGCGCATGGAAGTAAGTTCCAAACCAAAACTAAGAGCCATGATGCAAACATTTTTATCATGAGCCACGTCTGAATACACATGGGGTAAGTTCCGAGATAAAAATAAAATCACGTTCAACAATTTTGTCGTGAGGATATGTAACTGTTCGATGTATTAATTTTCAGCGAACGGGTGAACTTGTGGAATTGTATTCGAGAGGTTCTAGATTCGAAATTCAGGCAAGCCAGTTCTGAGTTCGAGTTTTCTATGGTCTTTTTCAAATTTTCTGGCCATTGTCATACTATTCAAGTGGAACATCACCACCATAACCTTTACCTATCATCTCCCACTCCAGTGGAGGTTGTAAGCCTAGACGAGTATAAGACGCAGCGTACATGATTAAAGCTTGAATATTATTTTTAAATTCGCTAATGGGGGGTGGAGTCCAGCTGGATCCACTCGGCACATCGGCCACTGATTGGCCTATTCTACCTGCCCCGGGTGATTATGATGATGGAGAATTAGATGGAATGATGATTGGCAAGGGAAACCGAAGTACTCGGAGAAAACTAGCCCCAGCGCCACGTTGTCCACCACAAATCCAACTTGAATAGATCCGGGAACGAACCCAGACCAACGCGATGGGAATCCAGCGACTAACCGCTTGAGCTATGGCGCGGCCTTAAGCTTGAATATTGGTTGGATATCGCAATTGTGACAAATGGTGCCCACGCTGGATGTGTAAAATTTTCAGAACCTTATTTGGGGTTTGCTCTCTCAGACGGCACTCAAACAGTGTCTATTAGAGGTTTATTTGCGAGTGAATCTGTAAAGATATTTCACATACACTTTTCATTCCACTCGTATTAGTGAAGAACATGGCGGAAGGCGGGGACAGTGGCTACGTACATATTGTTCCAATTATGAATAGAGGTAACGAACAAACCGAACAGGATGGTCTAGAGGTAACGTTCCAAACGTGTACTGGCTCGAATCTCGACCGGGCCTGCAGCTAAAGTGACCAAAGTTTGGGCAGTTTCCCTCATTACCTCTAGGAAAATTCTGGGGTGGCACCTTATGTAGACCACGGCTATTTCCTTCCAAACCATTTTCTATTTATCTGTCGTCCTACCATCCTGTACTGCATAGGCTTGGTACTGAAATAGTCGTGAAATAAGCAATTCTAATAAAGCAAAGTTTAATTTGTACCTGTAAAATAAAAACCATTCCATGAAAACACAGGCGGAATGGAGGTGTAAGTTCAAGCTTTCATAAACCCTAAACTAGATGAAGAAAAATGGTCGGCTTCATGACCCGGCCTCTTCATCAGCAGGAAATAACCCCCCAGTACCCACTGAATACGACGTTGCGTGAATTCGAGAGCAGGTTTGGACACTGTGGAAAAAAAGGCAATATCTTACTTCTTCCAGGAATTGAACCTCGATTCATCGGTTGTCCAGTTCGTAGCCTAGTTTCCATACCGAAGGAGGTATGACGACTGCATTGACCTTAATATTCAGTCGTTACAGATTCAAACATAAATATATTCTAGCAAACGTGACACTACATATACCATACTGCACAGTCAGAGTTTGCGTGTACTTAGTTAAATGTTTATGCATCGAAAAATGTTTCAAACAGAACAGTGACATTTGCATTTCATGTAATGTACCAACTTGTTGCTGAGTTCAATTAAGTTTAGTTTAATTTAGTTTAGTTTAGTTTCGTTTAGATTAATTTAGTTTAATGAGTTGAACTTAGTTCAGTTGAGTCACAAACACAGAACTTTGTCCACACAATACCAGGTTTTTGTGGTACACAGGTTCAATAGATACGGACATACACACTACAATACATACAAACAAATACTACGTACAAACTAATTAAACTCTTTATGTTAGTTCAGTTACAATTTTTCTTTCCTTGGCACTACAGCCCCAGTGGGCCTAGACCTACCTCCATTAACTCCGTTCACTTCGGTTCTTCTAGATCTTACACATTCTGTAGGACTCCTTGGGCGGGTGATCAGCTCGTCGCAAGGCCTCTACCTGTACACAAACACAGAAAAACGCACACACACACACACCAACTGAACATCCATGCCCTGAGTGGAATTCAAACCCACGATCTCGGTTTCCAAGCGAGCGAAGACAGTACATGCCTCAGACAGCTCGGCTACCGTGACCAGTTCAGTTACTATTACTATCACTACTGACACTACAACTACTGCACCATTACTATTTCCGCTCTCAGTCCATTTTCTCATTCTGTTTTTTAGTTTCTAGCTAAGATCTGGAAGGGGGATTGTGTCCCCCAACTTTGGTCTCCCATTTACATTAATTTTTAAATAAATACTTTCCTTTGGATTTTATCTTAGCTAAATTTGTGCAGATATGCACAGTGGGTATTTTTATCAGACAATCTCTCATTCAGGCAGACCCTCAGTCAGACAATCACCCATTCAGCGAGTATCTCAGTCAGAGAGTCTCTCGTTCAGTCATTTACTTATTTCATTATATAAAGTTGTTCGGCTATTTATTGAGTTTATTGGTTTGCTAGGCACTCGGCCAGTCAGTCATCTGAAGGCACAGTGGCGCGGGTGAATATAGCAAACCGAAAACATCTAATCTTAGAATGCCTTCCAAATATAGGAAATGACAACATTCCGAAGGGTGCTTTGTTGTTGTTATGACCTAAGTAATAACGGGTCACGGGACGCCAGACGCCGACATGCTGCAGGCTACTGTGACCGACAATCAGCTGTGGTTAACGTATTTTTTATTTCGCCTTTAAGTGCAGGCATTTCCAGCTAAAACCTTGTAGAAATGTCATTTAATTTGGCCAAAAGCGAAAAAGCCAAGAGACAGTGGTGCAAATTACTGTAATTTCATTTGGAAAAGTGGCACTATGAGATTTTTATCTTTTACGGCATCTAAAAGAGTATTGTGACCGAAAGAGATGGTTGAAGGAGAGAGATCCATCAAAGGACATTGTTCTTCGTAATGACGTAGCAGTGGTCTAACTAGATGGTTCGTTGGCGTAGCAATGATACGATTTTTGAGGAGGACTGCTTAGGTTTCCTCTGTAACCAAGAATTTTATTCATGAAATTACATTCCCCTAGGGTAGGTTGAATGCTCGAACCTTTGTAGTCTCATGCAAGAATTAAATGACTGCTGACAAATCAAGTTCCCCCTGAAATTGCCTCAGCATTTTAGAGGCAGCATTGCGTGGTTTAATTGCAATGATTGAAATCTGATGACTTCACATGTACCATGTTTTTATTCCCTTGACCAGGGGTTTGACAAATAATCGAATCTAATTTCAATTTTTTCTGTTTCTATTCATTAAATTAAATGTGTAAGGGTCATAAATTTAGAGTGAAATAATTGCAGATACTTGAGAAACGTGTATTCTGCGGTTTATAAGCCAGCTTAAACAAATAAATTTTTCATATTATTTGCGTATAAAGATTGTTAGTTAATTGTAATTGTCTAGCGAACTGAGAATTCTTTTTTCCTTGGCACTACAGCCCCAGTGGGCCTAGACCTACCTCCATTAAATCCGTTCACTTCGGTTTTTCTAGATCTTACACATACGGTAGGACTCCTTGGGCGGGTGATCAGCTCGTCCCAAGGCCTCTACCTGTAGACAAACACAGAAAAACGCACACAAACATCCATGCCCTGAGTGGGATTCGAACCCACGATCCCGGCTTCCGAGCGAGCGAAGAGAGTGCATGCCTTAGACCGCTCGGCTACCGTGACCGGCGACCTGAGAATTATACAGGTTAATTATAAGGGAGCTTCACACTTTGAGCAGCTAGCTTAACGGAAGAAGTCTCCTATTTTTTCAAAGAGATATGATATTATCTCCGGCGTCGAAATATTTGTTCCAAATTGGTAAATTGCTGCCGGTCCTCGCCAGCAAAGGAGCCGGAATGGTTCGGTCGGTATAACAACGGGCTGCGGGCTGGACGACCGGAGTTCAATTGTCGGTAGGGGCAAGAGATTTGTCTCTACTCCATAGCGTCCAGATTGGCTCTGGGGCCCACCCAGTCTCCCATCCAAAGGGGATCGTGAGCTCTTTCCCGAGGTTAAAGTGGTCAGGGTGTGAAGCTCATAATTCGCCTCCATCTATTGCCGAGATCAAGAAAAATCAGGCTGTACTTACACCTCCATACATTTTCATGGTTTGTGCTTAATTGCCGGGCTCTAAAGAATTCGTTCAATTTCAGTCAACACGGACCCCAGTCCCTAAGACTCCCTTTATGTAGTGTGTAACATCAGCTAAAGTTCTCCAACTCAAGACCCTTGGGCGGAAGTTATTCCTTGGAGATGTGTCATCTGATCACCTGTATCTCATAAATTTTTCAAGTCTCCTCATAAAATCATCAGGGAACTACTTATAGTTATTTACCGTTTTGAGAAGATCCTCTTAATTAAATGAAAAGTTTTACTACTTTCCTAACATAACCTCTGTTTTCTGTAAAACAATTACATTGGTTCATATCGAGGGGAAAAGAATGTAGGTAACGCGTTGTACTTACCACTTCAAATATCGAGCCAGTTATCGCTTGTCCTACTTGGCGTTTTCTGTGGATTTCCTCCGTTCTTCGAACCGACTGATGGGATATTACCTTAAAATAGGCCACGAGTACCTTCTCCTATTCCTTAACTACTCATTTTCATGTTGGCCATAACATTTTATTCCACGCTATATAGCCTCTGGAGTTGAAACGGAGTCGTTAAATCACGTTAAGAATCAGTTTTATCAGTCATTTATTCAGGATCAGGATGAAGTGTATTTGAGAAAATTGTATAAATAAAAGCTTTATAATTCCATTTCCCTTCCTTAACAATATATGGGGGGTTCTGTGTAAGCCACAATTCTCCTCTTGAAGTAGTATCATCCGGTCCCCGCTTGGTTCATCTACCATTCAGATATGTTGTTCTTAAGCTTGCAATATGAGCTCTTCCCTCAAAACAGGAGTCTACAATATGGCCTATTTAATTCCTAATTAAGAAATCTCTGTCCTGCAGGTGACCCCCAGGAAGAGTGTGTCCGTTGCGGGAAGGTATACCTCACCTCCTCGAACCAAGTGGCACATGGTTTCTGTGGCTCCTGTTATACGGCCAACCAGGGTCTCCCACTCATCAAGGAGTCCTCCCCATCCTCTCTGAGGTCGTGCGGGGACTCTGGAAGCGAAGAGTCCTGTACTACAGGAACAGAAAGGGATGAAGAGGACAGTCACCCAGAGTAGACGGGAGTGACAGTTGCAGGGCGTCTCAGAGGAAAACTTTGGTTTGTACAGTCCGCAGTGGAGGTTGTCCACTGAAGCACGTAGCTTGGCTTGTGCACTGAAGAAAATCCAACACCGAGCACAAGAAGAATAGTCTGTTTCAATTAACACGTGAAACGCATGAATTGACTTGCAAAATTGAAGAATGTCCATTACTTTTGACAGGAAGAGTCTCGATTTTCATGACCTTACGTGACTTGAAACACGTGTAACAGCTTGCAAACTGTGAGGCCTGCAAAACCATGCAGAGGAAGTGCCTTCTCTTTTAATAAGGTATGAGGTGTGTACTTCGGTCGTCATACTGAAGATTGCCAAACACTTTTTGCAGTGATCATTTTTTATTTAAATACTATAATCAGGAAAATCTGTAATGTGGCTTTGGCCCCCAAAACAATGAATGTCAAGCACTTTTCACACAAAATTCTCCCGTTGTAATGAAGTATTGAACATATTTCTAAACTGCTACCAAGAAATTATAAGAAGCACAACTCACGGTGTGTTTCAAGAATGAATTGTACCTAACTCCCCTTTGAATCAAGTGGACAGGAACAATATTTTCAGTATGGAACCTAAACACACACATTTTCAAGTGCACAATGAAGAGCGTGAAGTCATATTTCGAGGAGAAGAAATCTCTTTGAATCCAAAACACAGAAGTGTTTAGGTGAATCGTGCAAAATGAAATCAGGTAATCACAATGCAGAGAATTGAACTCTCCCATCTTAATGAATTACAGAGTAGAGACGTGAAACAAGATATATTTTGCACTCCGAGATAAGAAGGAAAGTGCATCAAACAAAGTGTAAACTGATGAAGAACTTTGATTATTCTACACGTATCTGTAGAACTACGTTTGATATAATTAAATGGCAATGAGCCTTTGCATCAACGTAACAATGAAATAACAGTTCTGCTCATAGAAGCTGACCGGCTAATCGGAAAATGTCAAATTTTGCCACACTAAGGAACTTGGGTACTACAGAACTTCCTTATATTGTCAGGCCAGTGCTATATTTTAACACAATTTGTGAGAATTAATTAAGAATAGGTACTCGTGTGAAAAATACCAAGTTCCAAGTACTGTGGACAGGGAAGTATGATCACTCAATGCAATCATTGAGGCAATTGCATTGAGTGATAGTAGCAGAAATAAAAGGAAAGAAATTATAATGCTGACTCAACAGTGTTTTTTGATCATTTTCAAAATAATACCGCAATTATTAACAGTTCCATATACATGACCTTGGACAGAACATCGACATTTTCAATAGAAATGTTCGTGAATCTGAAATTATATTATTTCTTAATTTCTCGAGGTGAAAAGTGGATACAAATAGTGGAATTATAATTTTATAAGATTTTAACAAATCCTCGTAAAAATAATTGTGACCATGACTGTATATTGTACGTAAACACATATATACCTGAGGAAACTGTATCATAGAATGTGCCTTCAAGATATGATGAAGACAGCGAAAATTTCAGAAGCAATGTAGGATAAAACTGTGGGGGGTAGTGTAGTCTTAATATAATAGCTGTAAAACTTTGGGGCTGGAACATATTTAGGTGCCACGTTTAGTATTTGGGAACTAACACTCAAATGTGGAGAACAATAAAGACATTAACGCCATCCACACTGCAGACTGGGATGAACAGCGTGTACATAAGTGTGAAAAACAAAGCTCTTTCATAAGTCTGTGTGGCATTTTAATGATTCTCCAAGATGCCTTCCATGTAAAGAGAGGCTGGTGAACCATCATCAAAAGCAAAGCAGATGAAACAAAAAGGATTATATGACGGCATTAAATAGGGTTATCTGTAATGATTAAGGTAAGGTAGCACCTAAGTGCTAAGTGCTAAAATAAACAGTATGTCTAGCATGGATTACTTAGTTCAAAAGCGATCGTAATGAAAACGGGGGTATTAGAAAAGGAGTGGTGGGGTCATGTAGGATGCACAGGTTAATGATTCAGCACAACGCATGTATGTCACCGAAAACTGTTTTCTCCTGTAAAGGTATACATGAAAGAAAACTTCGGAATATCCAGTGTCAAGAGAACACTCTTTCATATGAAGTTGTTATTTTCGATAAAGTGGCGCTGGGGTGGGTTTTCTCCGAGTACTTCGGTTTCCCCTGCCAATCTTCATTCCACCAAATTTTCCATCATCATAATCACCTTGGGTAGGCTACAATAGGCCAATCAGTGGCCGCCTTGCCGAGTGGACCCAGTTGGACTCCACCCCCCACTAAGCGAATTAGAAAAAAAGTGGTTACTTTGAATGCATCACAAATGTATTGCTTCTTAGTAACACAGGTCGCCTTCAGAGGGCGCCTACTTTATTCAGTTAATTCTTGCTTGCCTTACTCACAGCTTCGTGACACATATTTACGTCCAACGAAACGTAATATCTGTAGTCAATTCTTGAAACACAGAGACGAATTTTAGTGTAAGAAAGAGCAGTCCTTACCCGTTGGTGACCCAGAACCAGCCTGGAAGTACCGTATTTACGCATGTATAGGCCGCACATTTTTTGCCAAAAATTCAAGAGGAAAACTGGGGTGCGGCTTATATTCGAAATATTCGAAATCACACTTCATTTAAAAAAAAA